TGCAATGGTTATTGGGAGCCATCAACAATTATTCTTTGGACAAGGAAATTCAAAGACCACAACAATAACATTAACGACAACAACAACAACAGCAACAACAACCATCTTAAGACTGTTCGCTCTTATCTGATCCAGTGTCCGTTAACGTGTATTTGCCAAACCCTCGGTACCCGCCCTCTTCGTCTTCGATCGTACCCTTGTTGGGGGGTATACCTTTTTTCCCTGCAGGCCAAGCCCCGGCAAGCGGCGGGGCAGCCGCGGACCGTTGGCGCGGCCCAGCGGCAGCGCTGATCGGCGTCAGCCCGACCCCAAGAGGGACGGACAGGGGACCGACCGGGACGACGACGACGACGACGACGACGACGACGACGTCGACGACGACGGCGACGATGACGACGACGACGACGAGCGAAAGCGAGAGCGTGAGAGAGAACGACAGCAGGGCCACGAAGGGCACGAAGTAGGCCACGAAGGGCGACTGCGGGGACACGAAGGGAATGCCTATGGGGCCACGAAGAGCGCCAACAAGCGGGGGCCACCAAGGGCAGATAATGCGGGGCTACAGAAGGCAACGACGGGGCCACTGAGGGTAGCACCTGGAACACGTAGGACAGCGAGGGGGCCACAAACGGCGACAGCGGGGCCACGAAGGGCATGCACATGGGGCCACGACGGGCGCAAACGAGCGGGGGCCACGAAGGGTACACGTAGATTGAGGCGCGGAGGGCAAGGACGGGGCCACTGAGGGCAGCACGGGGCCACGAAGGGCAGCGAGGGGGCCACGAAGGGCGACAGCGGGGCCACGAAGGGCATGCACATGGGGCCACCACGGGCGCGAACGAGCGGGGGCCACGAAGGGCACACAAACATGGGGCCACGAAGGGCAGCGAGGGGGCCACGAAGTGATGCAACGAGGCCACGACGGGCAGCGAGGTGGCCACGAAGGGTGACAGCAGGGCCACGAAGGGCAGCGAGGGGGCAACGGGGCCGCGAAGGGCAACGAGGGGGCCGCGAAGGACTGCAACGGGTCCAGGAAGGGCAGCGAGGGGGCCACGAAGGGCTGCAACGGGACCACGAAAGGCAGCGAGATTCCGATTCCTGAATCCGCCGGACCCCCTGTGGGGCCACCAGGCTGTAGGGCGAAGGTTCGCAGTTTCCTGTATCAGTTGCAGCTTCCAGTTTCCACTCTTACAACTCTGCTTCTTGCTGCTTACTGTTCCTTGTTGACTCCTTGCTGCTTACTGTTCCTTGTTGATGGACCGGTCGAATGGGGGGAGGCCCAAAACGGGCATGTTTACCACGCCCTGAGCGTGTGCTCTGAATTGCTGGGGTGGTAGAAATTGACACCCCTCACGCAGATCGGCGGGGTCAGGGTCCAAAAACACAAGGGATTTGCCACATTTCTGAAATTTGCTGGCACCCCTCACGCAGATCGGCGGGATCAGGGTCCAAAAACACAAAGGATTTGCCAATTTCTCAAATTCGCTTGCACCCCTCACGCAGATCGGCGGGGTCAGGGTCCAAAAACATTGTGGATTTGCCACATTTTCGAAATTCGGTGACACCCCTCACGCAGATCGGCAGGGTCAGGGTCCAAAAACACACCTCTCACGCAGATCGGCAGGGTCAGGGTCCAAAAACATATGGGATGTGCCACATGTCTGAAATTCGGCGGCACCCCTTACGCAGATCCGTAGGGTCAGGGTACAAAAACACAAGGGATTTGCCATATTTCTGAAATTCGGTGGCACCCGTGACGCAGATCCGTAAGGTCAGGGTCGAAAAACAAACAGGTCCCGACACTGCTTCACGGCGTCGCCCAGACCTAATGATTTAGCTTTTGCATCTCCCATTCTCCGAGACAGGGGGCCAGCGGCATGGGGCGAAGCCCTTACGGATAATATGTGAGGGAGTCCGAAGCGTGAGCGCGACTCCTGGGTGCCTGAGTGTCGGGAGCGCGGTGCTTGAGTTCATTGCGGGAAATTCCAACGCAAGGGCGCTATTCTTGATTAAATTGCAAACAAGTCCCCAGCGAGAGCGCGACTCCAGAGCGCCGAGAGAGCGATTCCTAAATAAATCGTAAGGAAATCCCAAGCGAGAGCGCGATTCCTGAATAACATGCGAGGAAGTCTCAGGCGGGAGCGGGGGTCCTGGCTAAATGGTGAGGAAGTCTCAGGCGGGAGCCATTGTTGTTGCAACCTGGGGGCCAACAACACAATTTGAGGACGAAGACTTTCCCTGATAAAAAAACAGGGTGCGAGCGCCTGGAGGGGCACTTCAGTTGAACAATACAATGTGCACCGGAGGGGGGGGGGCTCAACAAAAATCATTCTTCAGTAATTAGAGTTCAACCACAACAACAGCAACAGCAACAACAACAGCAAACACAATCATTTTGAAACTGTTCGCTCATATCTGCTCACGTGCTAATCCATACGTGTATCCCAAACCCTCGGTGCCCGCACTCGTCGTCTTCGATCGTACCCCCTTGGGGGTCTATCTTCCTTGCTTGCCACGTGTATTTCGTGCAGCCCCTAAAACAAAGGAAGAGAGAACGGGTGGAAGGTGGGCGGAGAAGAATGGAGCACGAGAGAGATTAAAAGGAGGGGGGCAAGGAGCAGAAAACAAGTGGTAGAACCAGACGGGCAGATCGGGTGGGCAGACCCATAGCGGGCTGGTCGGGAAGGCGGGCCCAGGCGACGAGGTCGAGCAGGCGGGTTGCTGGAGCGTGGGTCCTGCATGAATCGCGAGGAAGTCTCGAGCGATAGCGTCGCGCGATTCCTAAGTAAATCGTAAGACAAAGCCAACGTGGGCAACGAAGGGCATAAAGTCCGAGGCCACAGAGGGCAGCGACGGGACCGCTGAGGCCAGCACCTGGGCCACGAAGGTCAGCGAAAGGGCCACAAAGGGCGTCAGGGGGGCCACGAAAGGCATGCATATGGGGCCACGACGGGCGCGAGCGAGCGGGGGCCACGAAGAGCATTCGTATACGGGGTCATCAAAGGCGACAGCGGGGCCACTGAGGCCAGCAAAGGGGCCACGAAGGGCAGCGAGGGGGCCACGAAGGGCGACAGCGGTGCTACGAAGGGCATGCGTATGGGGCCACGACAGGCGCGTGCGAGCGGGGGCCACGAAGGGCATATAATGCGGGGCCACAAAGGGCAGCGACGGAGCTACTGAGGGCAGCAACGCGGCCACGAAGGACAGCGAGCGAAGGCGACCGCGGAACCAGAGGGGGCAGCGAGGGGCATCGAAGGCGGGCGAAGGGCAGTGAGCGGCGACTGCATTCATTAACGAGCTGGTCGGACGGGCAGGCCCCGACGGACGGGTCGAGCGGGCGGGTCGTTGAAGCGTGAGTCCTGCTTGAACCGCCAGGCAATACGTAGCGGGAGCGCGATTCCTGAGTGTCGAGGACGGGTATCTGACTAAAGTGTAAGGAAATATCAAGCGAAGCGGTTCGGTGGTAAGTTGCGAGGAAGTCCCAAACGAGCACGCGATTCTGCAATAAATTGTCCAGAAGTATCAAGCGGGAGCCGCGATCTGGTGGCAAATTGCCAGGAAGTTTCAAACGACAGCGCGATTCTTCAATACATTGTGAGGAAATATCAGGCGGGAGCCGTTGTTGTTGTGAACCGGGTGCCAACGACACAGTTTGAGCGTCAAGACTTTCCCTGATAAAAAAATAGGGTGCGAGCCCCGGGAGGGGCACTTCAATCGAACAAATACCGTATGCACCGGGCGGGGCGGGGATCAACTAGAATTATTATTCAGAAATGGAAGTTCATCTTCAACGACAACAACAACTACACCAACAAAACCAACACCAACAGCAAACACAACAGCACAAACAACAATAACAGCAACAACATCAACAGCAACAACAGCAGCAGCAACATTAACAACCGCATAATCATGACCGTCACCTTCATCAGCACCATCATCACCATCAGTCGCAGCATTGGTATCGTCATCGTCATCGTCATCATCACCACCACCATCATCATCACCATCATCATCATCATCAGATCAGCGTCGTCGAGGCCGCCGCCACCGTCGTCGTCGTCGTTGTGGTCACCAGCATCATCGCAGCATCCGCATCATCATCACCCTCATTATCGTTATAGTAACCAGTACCAGCATCATCACAAGCACACTCGTCAGCATCAGCATCATTCTCATCACCTGTAGCATCATCACCATCACCATCACCATTACCATCATTATTATCAGAATCACCATCACCAACATCATCACCATCATCATCATGAGCATCAACTTCATCATAATCAGCAGCAGCATCATCGGCATCATCATCATCAGCAGCAGCAACAGCAACATCAGCATACATTCCTCAAATGTGCAGTAATCGTAGCTTTGCTCTTCTCCGTCTTCTCGAATAGCATTAACCCCCTCTTTCCATCACCCTCCCTCCGCGAGCGTACCAGCCTCCTCTGACGGGGGGAGCCCGTGGAGGGAGGCACTACATCGACATAAACTTTCGGCGGCCCGGTGCTGGCGCTGGACCCCCCATGGCGCCACGCTTCGTGCGCCCACCTCCACCTCCGCCTCCGCGGGTTCTTCTTTCTGCCGCGTCGTCCTCCCCATCTTCCCTCACCCCGCCTCCCCCCTCTGGCCTTCTAGCCTTCTAGTGCCCCAGTCCCCCCCTCCTCCCTTCCCTCTCCCCTCCCAGCAAGCATCCCACGAAAACCGAACCGACAAAATCCAGTACGGACCCGTCAAAAAGCGTCAGCAAGCCCGACTCTCGGCGAACCCAAGTCTTCGTTGAGTCCCCCAAGATGGGGTCGAACAATGTAGATGGAATCGGAGGATCGCGTCGACCTCGGCGATGCATTGGCGACGTCGGTGTGAAACATTATGGCTCCACATCGGTCCGCATCGCCCATGCAACGGCGATGCGGCGCGACCCCTGTTGGGAGGCCTGGACACACGTTTCTCCGAGACGAACCGCCCAACTCCCCATCCTCTGCGGCGGGCGGCGCCTCGTCGCCGCCGGCGCGGCGTCGGCGAGGGGAGCGGCTGGCAGGCCGATCTCCGCGGCGGCCACGGGCAGGGATCGCGCCAGCGCGGCCAGCTTCGAGGCGTCGAAAAGGGCTGGGCGGCACCGCGGCGACGAGAGCGACGACTGGGGGACCCCCAAACACTATGGTGACCACACCTCGTGTGCGCAAACAGATCGCTATAGTACGCCATGCCCACCAGGTGGGCAAGGCGCGCCAAGTGCGCGGGGCGCGCCGCGCAAGGCTGGTGCGCAAGATGTGCCGCACGCGTCAGGTGCGGCAGGTGCAAATGGTGCGACAGGTGGGCCATGTACGCCAGGTGAACGGGCTCGCCGCGTGCGCCAGGTGTGCCACGAGCGTCTGTTGTGACGGGTTTTCCGACGACGCGGCCCAGGGGCGGAGACCAGGTTGACGAAGACGGCGCACTGCTACCCAATCGACTGAATCTGGCGACGGCAGCGCCCAAGCGGGCGCACCCTCGTCCATGTCCCATGCCGGCGTCGACAACCCTGTCCACGGCTGCCGCGCAACGGAACCTACAATGAACAATCAGAGAACCAGCTGTGAACCATGGCCAAAAATAGATAGACACAAACTGTATCATATACACAGATCTCTGATACATGTTCGAGTGACATCGATGTTCACTCTGTCTTCTGCCATGGTTCACTGTTGGTTCAATGTTGTTCTCTGTTGGTTCTCTGTGCGAAGCGAGTGGACAGCGGGGTGCTCTGGGGTCGCCTGGCTGCTGCCGTCCAGTTCTGGGCGAATCCAAGCGTGACTGCAATGTGATTTGATGTCAAAGCCCCCTGCTGTGAGCAGAGGGACCCGAGAGCTTACCAAGACAAAGCCAGCGCAGATACAAGCTGTGACCAAGCTACACACGGTGCTCGATCTTCGGAATCAATCCCAAGGGGCGCCGCCGCAAAGGGTTGCCACGGCTCTGGCGCCCTCGGCTTCGCGAACCAGGAGATGCGCCGCGGCGGAGATGGAGCCCGGTCACACGCGTGGCCACTTGCGGCTACGTGCGCGCACTGGCTCGCCGCATTGCGCCCGCCCAGGGATGTCGGCAGCCACGCGAACGGCCCGCGGGCCCCGCGAGCCGCAGGCACCAAGCTCACAGCTCCGGCGGCATCGGGCGCGGCGCCAGTCAATCGCTCGCCTCCAGCTGACACGTGGAGCATGAAGCGGGACAACCTGAGGGCTGAACTTCGAGCGCGCAGATCCAGAAAACCGAGGCGCGCCAAAATGTTGCGTCCGAACTTCTCCGAAGCCTCTGAGAATCTCTGAAACACCAGCCGCGCCCGAAAACACTCGCAAAAACAAGCTTTCCTGGAGCTGGCCAGAGCTCTCTGAGAAACAAACGGCCCGCGAGATTCACATTGCCCCGGGTTCTGGTTCCGAAGCTATCTGAAATCGGCCTGCGGCGGCGCCCAGTACGTCGCAACGACGACCCCGCCTGCGACGTACTTGGACCCCCGCTTGACGCGTTCACGCAGGAATCGCGACTCATCGCACTGCGCCGCCTGTGAAGACCGCCCACCGCTACCAATGCCCAAGCAAATCCAGCTTCCCAACAGCCCACAAGAATCGAACCGAATCTCGCCTTCCCTCTCGGATTCTTCCACGAGTGCGCGCGCAGCGCTCCAAAGCGATGGTTCATGTTTCTCTATATTTCAGACTATCTTGCTCCGATGGGTACACCCTGCGAAATGCTTAAGAAAACATGGGTTAAGAAATTCATAGTCTCAGAACTTGAATAAAAACCAAACATTTCTATTAAAATCTTAGAAAGAGCGTGTTCTACCGCTGCTGGCGGAAAACCGGGGGGGGTCACTACCGGTTCGAACCCCTCCCCCCCCCCCCCCCTCCGGAAAACCGGGGGGGGTCACTACCGGTTCGAACCCCTCCCCCCCCCCCCCAGCTCATCATGAAAAGGGGGGGGGGGTCACTACCGGTTCGAAACCCCCCCCCCCCCCCTCGAAAACCGAGTGGGGGTGCGGACAGTGGTGGGGACGGTGTTGGTGGGGACAGTGGTGAGGGGACAGCGGGACAGTGGTGGGGACAGTGGGGGGACAGTGGGACAGTGGTGGGGACGGTAGTGGTGGGGACAGTGGTGAGGGGATAGCGGGACAGTGGTGGGGACAGTGGGACAGTGGGACAGCGGTGGGGACGGTAGTGGTGGGGACAGTGGTGGGGACAATGGTGGGAACAGGGGGGGACAGTGGACAGTGGTGGTGACGGTGGTGGTGGGGACAGTGGTGTGGGGACAATGGGAACGAGGTGGAAACAGTGGGACAGTGGAGGGTACAATGGTGGTGGGGACAGTGGTGAAGGCGGTGGCGAGGACGGCGGTGGGACAATGGGACAGAGGTACAGTGGGGACAGTGGTGGGGACAGTGGGGACAGTGGTGGGAACAGTGGGACAGCTCAGTGGGACAGCGGAGGAGTCAGTGGGACAGTGGGGACAGTGGGGATAGTCGGGCAGTGGTTGGGGCCGTGGAGACAGTGGGGAGAGTGGAACCGTGGTGGGAACAGTTCTGGGGACAGCGGGGACAGTGCGACAGTGGTGGGGCCACTGGTGGGGACAGTAGGGGCGGTGGTGGAACCAGTGGGGACAGCGGTGGTGAGGACAGTGGTGCTGGGAACACCAGTGGGGGATGTGATGCGGACGGTGGTGGGGACCGGGAGTCGTTTGCTGGCGGTGAGTAGGGGGGGGGGGGGGGGGGGGGTTCGAACCGGTAGTGACCCCCCCCGGTTTTCCGGATCCGGAGGAGGGGGGGGGGGGGGAGGGGAGGGGTTCGAACCGGTAGTGACCCCCCCGGTTTTCGAGCGGGAGGGGGGTGGGGGGGGGGGGGGGGGGGGGGGGTTAGGGAGGGGGGGGGTTTTGCCGGGGGAGAGGGGGGGGGGGGGGGGGGGTGGGGGGGGGGGGGGGGGGGGGGGGGGTTCCGGCAGGGGGGGGGGGGGGATTTTCGGAGGGGGGGGGGGGGACCCCCGGGTTCCGGAGGAAAAGGTTGGCAATTTTCCACAGTAAAGCGGCGGTGGATCACGCTCTCTCAAATCTTAGGACCTACATTGAAACATTAAGAATAATCGAGACTCTGGCCGAAAACTTTGCTTTTCTTAAGCATCGCCTAAGGTGTACCCGCCCTGTGCTCGTGTGGCCAGCCCGCCAAAGATCCGTATGAAGAAAGCATGAGGGACTCTCCTCTGAGGACCCTCCTTTCTTTGTTATCCTTCTCACTCCTGTCTATCCCTCCGCTTCCTCCTCCTCATCCCCACCTCTATCCTCGTCATTGTCCTGATCATCCTCGTCCTCGCTGGTTCCTGTACACACTACTTCTCCTCACTCTCGTCACTATTCGCCCCGATCCTCCTCTTCTTCCTACTCCTCCACCTCCTGTTCGTTAATGCCCCTCGATAACTACGGGATCGTGGGTTCGCAAAGCGTCGTCCTGAACATGATACAAGATAAACAAGACCGTTGCCCCCTCCCCCTCCTCCTTATCACATTCCTCCTCCTACTCCTCATCCTCGTCCTTCTCCTCCTCCTCCTCCGGTATCCGTTGAGGCGTCGGGCGGTGGTGATCTGAGCGGCTGCTGAGTCACGCCCGCCTCCTCCACATTCCCCCCGCCCCATCCTCCAACTCCTACTCCTCTCCCCTCCGCCTCCTCCTTCTCCTCATCCTCCCTCTTCGCCTTACATTATTCCACCCTCCCTTCCCATTCCCATCATTATCCTCCTGTAGGAAGGAGGCGAAGGTAGATGAGGAAAAAAATGGAAACCATACCCCTGCGCCCCACTTGCAAGCAGGGTGCTCACCTTTGCTGCGGTACACGAAGCTACCGAGCCCGTACTTCTCATGCCGAGATGCTGCCTCGGAGCGGGACTGAGAGCATCAATCGGCCGCTGGTCCTACCCGATCGCCCTACCCCTCCCGATCATCCCCGCTCCCACCCTGTTCCTGCTCCTCCACCTCCTGGTCAGCCGCCTTCCAGTCCTGCTCATCCTACTACTCATCCTCCCCTTTTCACCTTTTTTAAAATATCTACCTACACATCCGTTTCCTCCATGTCCTCGTTCTCGTCCGTCAGTCATCATCATCCTCGTAGTCCTTCCCCTCATGCTTCATTCTCCATCTCCCAATCCTCCTGCCAATCCTCGATTTCCGCTTCGTTCCCCCCACCCTCTCCTTGATTTACTCCTCGATTGACTATCTTGTTGTGGGATGGAAGATGGGAATAGGCGGGGCCCTCTGACTCGCTCGACCGGGATAACTTGACTTGCTCCTACTCCTCTCCCCTCCTCCGCCTCCTCCGCATCCTCCTCCACCATCACTTCATGTGCAAGAACTGAAGGCAAGTAGTTGCGCAGATTCGGATGGGCTCCCACACATGCGGGGATTTACTGGACCACATGGACCAGCACCAAAGCAGGGAGCGCCCTCCATACTCTGAATCATGCCCCATCCCATCACAACAAATCGCTCATTCGTCCCAATATCTACCCCCTTTGCATCATCAGTATCAATACTATCAACATCCATCAATATCAACATTAGCATCATATGCATAGTCCTCCGCCTCGCCATCGTCATCCTCATCGTAATCATCAACATCGTCATCGTCATCATCATCATCATCATCATCATCGTCGTGGTCGTCGTCGTCGTCATCAGCTTCATCATCAAACACAACACCACCATCAGCATCATCGTCATCATCAACAACATCAGCATCGCCATCAGCAGCATCATCATCAGCATTATAATCATCATCATCACAAACAGCATCAGCATCATCATAATCGTCAGTATCCTCATCCTTATCGTAGTCGTCATCATCGTCAGCAACCTTACCATTACCAGCATCAGCATAATTATGATGCGAATCGTCATCGTCATCGGCATCATCATAATACCCATCTACAGTATCATCACCAGCAACCCCATCATCATCATCATCATCATCATCATCATCATCATCATCATCATCATCGTCATCATCGTCATCATCATCATCATCATCATCATCGTCATCGTCATCATCATCATCATCATCATCATCATCACCACCACCACCACCACCACCATCATCATCATCAGCATCATCATCATCATCATCATCATCATCATCATCATCATCATCAGCATCAGCATCAGCATCAGCATCAGCATCAGCATCATCATCATCATCATCATCATCATCATCATCATCATAACGATAATAACCATCATCATCGTCCAACAACTACCAATATCATCCTCATAATCATCATCCTCAGCAACCACATCATCACCATCAATCAGCATCAGCATCATCCTCGTAATCAGTATCATACTCGTCCTCATCAATATCATGACCAGCATCATCGTCGTCGTCATAATCATCGTCATCGTCGTCATCATCGTCAGCATCATTCTTGTTGTCATCATCCTCAGCATGCCCAGCATCACCATAATGAATCACCAGCGTCATACTCATCACCATCATCATCCTCGTCATCATCATCATCATCATCATCCTCAGCAACCGCATCATCATCATCATCATCATCATCATCAGCATCAGCATCATCATCATCATCATCATCATCATCATCACCATCATCATCATCATTAGCATCGTCATCATCATCATCACCGTCGTCATCAGCATCAGCATCATCATCGTCACCATCGTCATCATCATACTCATCACAGCATCACCGTCGTCATTGTTGACACCATCACCATCCTCATCGTCATCCCCCTTCTCATCCACATAAAACTCGTCGCCGCCATGTCATACCACGGGGGCGGACACCATTCAACATGGGAGCTCACAGGCACAGCCAGCGCGGAATTACCTACGGGCAAGAGACCAAATGCGTTGATATGGTATGTCCTACTCCGTCAACTCCTCCGTCTTTCCTCCCGCCCTCCCCCTCCTCCTTCTCCTCCTCAGAAATATCGCCTCCAGCTTTTGATGGACGGGCGACACCCTAGGACAGGAGCCATAATTAGTGATGTCCATCTGGTGGGATCGACCTTTCCAGGTAGCTTTGTATCAGCCCCTCACCGGGGTCCCTGATGTTTGATTTCTCCTCTTGCGCCTGTTTCGTGGGACGTGCCAGTTTCGTGGCGCGCCTTATCCAGTCCAGTCCAGTCCTCCTCATCCTCAATACATTCCTTCTCCTGGTCCTCGTCCTCCTCCTTCTCCGGTTCCTGCTCATGCTCTTCCTCCTCCGTTTTCTCCTTTCCCTCCGCCTCCATACGCCCTCTTCACTGGTCGGCAAGCAGACTCCTGCATCCTCCTCCTCCTCCTCTTCCTCCCTCCTCCACCTCCTCCCTCATCCATCTTCCATCCTCCATCCCCCCTGCACCACTTTGCTTCGCCTAGTTCCTCCCTCCGCCTCCACCTCCTCCACCACCACCACCAGCACGCTCGCACTCCATGAGCAAGCTGTCGATCGCACGGCGGCGGCAACTGAGCGGTGGCTACAGGACCGCAGCACGCGGCCTCCGTGTGCGCGCATACGGTGCAGTCCTCGCCGTCCCCGTGGCTGTGGACGTGCGCGTGGCCGTCGTGGCCGTGGCCGTGTGCGTGGCCGTCGTGGCCGCAGTCGGCGTCGTGCGCGCCGCCATCGGCATGGCCGCGGCCAGCCGCCGCGTCGCCCCCTGGACAAGGGGGGGGGGGTGCTGGGCGGCCGGCCGCGGGATGGGGAGGCTCCTCTCCTGGAGGCGATGGGTTCGGAACAGATGGGGTCGGAACACGGCGCAGCATCGCCGATGGCGGTGTCGCCACGGGGGGTACCCGACGACAAGACCAGGCTGATTCACGACAACACATAACGCAAACATTGGAGGCACACGCCTTCAGCTTTCGCTCGCCTCCCGTTTTCATGTTCCCCCTGCTTTTGCGTGCCTTCCGCTTGCTCGCCTCCCACTTTCGCTTGCCTCCCACGTTTGCTCAGCTCCAGGGGAGGCGAACCAAAGTGGGAGGCGAACGCGAAAGCGGAGGGCGCTGAGGCGAACGAAAGTGGAAGGCAAGCAACAGTGGGAGGCGAACGAAAAAGGGAGGTGACCAAAAGCTGGAGGCGAAGGGAAGTGGGAAGAGAACGAAAAGGGGATACGGACGACTGCGGAGGCGAACGAAAGGGGGGGCGAACGAAGGCGAACGAAAGGTAAAGACGAGGACAAGGAAGACAGCAAGGACGACGACGACGACGACGGCGATGACAAGGACGGAGACGACGACGACGACGACGACGAAGACGATAACAGGGACGACGACGACTACAAAAACGAGAGCGAGGACGACGACGACGACGAGGACGACAAACGACGACGACGAAGACGGCGATGGCGACGACGACAACGCCGACGCCGACAACGACGACGACGACGACGACGAAGACAGCCGCAGAGGTCTGGAAGCCCCTGAAGGCGTCTGGAGGCCCTTCGAGGCCAGTGGAAACGACGACGACGACCTCGACGGCAGCCTCTGAAGCTCCACAGAGGTCTCCAGAGGCCTCAGGACGTCTCCAGCGTCTGCGAGGCCCTCGGACACGACGACGACAACGACAATGACGACGACGACGGCGGCGGCGACGAGGACGAGTGCGACGACGACAACGACGACGACGACGACGGCGACGACGACGACGGCCGCCTCTGAAGCTTTACAGAGGTCTTCGGAGGACTCTGGAGCCATGGGGACCTCGGGAGCTCTGGAGCTCTCGGACACGACGACGACGACGGCGACGACGACGACGACCACGACGACGACGAAAACGCCGACGACGACGCCGCCGCCGACGACGACGACGACGACGACGACGGCCGCCTCTGGAAGCGTCTGGAATTTCTCTGGTGCCTGTCAGCACCACACCATGCCTGTGAGCACGGCGCCATAGCTGTGGGGGGGGTAGGACACCCTCCTCGTCCGTTCGTTGCTGTTACGGGGGTGCGGACGTCACGAGTTCAACAACAAAATCCGATACCCGCGCCCGAACTGCCGCCATGCAGGGACAGCACGGACCTGCCATACCGACCTACCTCTTCCCTACCCTCCCTCACCCAATGTCAGCAGCTCCCCCTGTCGGCGATCTGTGGGCGATTGGGGGTCGGACACATCCTCCCCTGAGCTCATCTCCCCCCCCCGCAAGCCAGCCAGCCCAATGGGAACACACCTACCTACCTACCTACCTACCCCTCCCCTTTGGGCGGCCAGGGGGCCAGCCCCCTGCCTGCGCTCCGCGCCGCCGCCGCCGCAGCGGCGCCCCTCGCCGCGGCTGCCCGGACGGCCACGCCGTGCCTGAGGGGGACGGGGGCGGCCAGGGGGTTGGAGGGGGGGGGGGAAGGGACGCTGTCGAGGCAGGGCGGAGGCGGGGGTGGGAGGGGGGGACCCGAGGAGGCGGGGGAGGCGAGGGGGGATCGGGAGGGGCGGGGATCGCAGGCAGAGGCAAGCGGGGAGGGCGGGCAGCGAGGCAGTGCAAGGGCGCGGAGGTGCGATCGAGGTACGGGGGCTTTCTCTGCCCGCTTCCCGAGCCTGCGAGGAGGGCAAACGCAAGTCAGCTGAAAATGCCACAAGGAACCTCACGTGTCACGAGAACGAAAGAAACTCTTCCAGCTCATCCGCCTACCCCCACCAACTGTAGGGCAGGCCGGGCCTCGCGAGACCCCCCTGCCCATATCCGGCGGCACCGACCGACACCCCGCTCTTCATTGGGGCGCAGCATTGATCCTTTCGATCCCCCTCGCACGCATCTTTGGACCAAGAGCCCTCGCCTCTCCGCGGGCCGTTGGTCTCTTGTCTCGTCGCTCCTTCTTTTCCTCCCGCGTCGCGCTCCTCCGCGGCTACCCCGTCCTCTTTGTCCATTGGTTTCCGCTCTGTCTTGTCGCCAGACTCTCCCCCCTGCTCGGCCGTCCCCACGTCTCGCAGCAGCGCGCCCTGCTGTCCAATATTCCCATCAAAGCTGCCCACGTCCCTTTCTCTTGCTACCCTGCTTGCCGCCCCACTCTATTGCCCCATCTCTCTGCTACCTTCGATTTCCACACACGTCGATGTCTTCACTGTTGCCTCCCAGGGGTGGGACATCTTGATAACCTCATTTCCTTCTGTCCCAGCCGCGTGGCCGATAAGATCGTCAGTTTATGCTTGCACATCTTCTCTTCGAGAACCCTCCTTGACAGCACGGTATGTTCCACATACAGGGACCAACCACTCTTAAGGCTGCCTATTCCGCCAACATCCTCGTCCTCGTCCTCCTCCTCCTCCTCATATCCTCCTCGTCCCCATCCTCATCCTCATCCTCATTCACCTCCTCCTGCTTCTCCTCCTCTCTCTTTCCCCTCTAATCTCGTCTTGCTCCTCCTCTTCCTCCGCAGCCGTGCAACAATCCCCCATGTTAACCAACCCCTGGCCTCCTTATCATCCCTGTCATCATCCTCCACATAATCCTCCTCATCATCATCGTAAGCAGCAGCCTCGTCCGCATCATCACCACCACCATCAACAACATAGCCCTCAACAACAAATTCATTGCATCCGCACCGCCGTCATCAAACAAAACATCGTTGTCGACGTCGCCTTCACCATCGTCAGCACTATCATCAAAGACGTCACCGTAAACAATATCATCCCAACTTGCATATGCACCCTCACTGTCATCGTTGTGAACATTCCCGTGATGAGCATCATCAGAAGTTCCAGCCGTACCACCATCAGCGCACACACACACACAACCACGTCATCGCCAGCACCACCCTCATCATCAAAACAACCAGCAGCATCAGTATCTCCATCAGCAGCATCTACGTCAGCAAAATCAGCACCATCATCACAAGCATCAGCATCATCATCAGCATCACCATTACCATCAACAGCATCATCATCACCATCATCAGCATCATCATCATCTCCGTCACAATCACCATCACCATAACCATCATCATCCTGATCATAATGTTCATCACCTTCAGCATCAGCAGCATCGCCAGCAGCATAAATATCACCATCATCACCATCATCATCATCATCATCATCATCATCATCATCATCATCATCAGCCTTATCATCATCAACATCATCGCCATCATCGCTTTCCTCCCGCAACGGCAAGACCGCGGTCCCCTTGTCCGCGCCGCACCCCGTGTGCAGGCGGGTGCCCCGCGGGCGGAAGGACGGATAGCCCCCTGGACCACCGGGGGGGGGCGTTTTTGTTTAAAGGCCCGAGGAGGGGGAGCTCACCTGTCCGCCCTACTCCCCGACAGCGTTAAGAACTCGGGAAGGGGTGATATTATTAATATGTGCGGCCGCGCCACACAGGTGCTCATGCTGATGATGACGGTAGTGGTGGCCGGTAGCAGTGTACAAAAGACACGGGTCTGTGGCGCTGAAGTCAGACTACAAACTTATCGGCGCACCATGTGCACCAAACGTGTACCGTAACCACCAGGCGACGTACTAGCAATATGCGTAGGTAGGTACTCGGCCTGAAGAAAGTTGACTGCTGGAGTACATTCGTCCGCGGTTTCTGGCAGTCTGGACCTAGAATAACGAATGCCCTATCCGATCGTAAACCACATCGAACAACATGTTGTCCTGGAACACGTCAGAAAATTGCCACCCTGGATAGAATTTAGAGGCTGCGAGGTCGCGCGCGCTCCCATTGCGCCTTATATCGTAATCCGCCCCAAACCGCCCAGTTGACCACCCCCAGATCGCATGCTCTGAATTCCCGCGGAGAATACACGAGACTCGCGCCCCCGATGCCATAATCCATTGCAAATGAGACAATGTTCGCGCCCCCGGACCCTCGTAAAGTACACGAGTCTTGCGTCCCCGAAGCAACGCAACCTCGTACATTACACAATACTCGCGCCTCCGAAACCATGCACATTTGAAAATTACGCCGTGCTCGCAGACGCTCGAAGATGGTTCCATGCCAAGACGGCCCAAGATGACCCGAAGAGCCCCAAAAGGCCAGCATCTTAGATGTTGGTGTACTTGTTTGTCTGAGAGATTCTGGCCTTCTCGCATTTTCGGCTTTCTGGCGCACCAAAACGGCCCAAGAAGCTCCCAAAACCATCCCAAGACAGACGAAGAGGCTCCCAAAACGGCCCCAAGACGGCCCAAGACGGCTCCAATATAGCCCAATAGGCGCTCAAGACGGCCCAAGAGGGCCTCCAGACGTCCCCAAGAGGGGCCCCAGCCGGGGACCACGAACCGAACATTCGATAGTTGTGCCCCGAGAAGCCCCCACGAGGCCTCAAGAGGCCCCAAGAGGCGCCCAATAGGCCTCCAAGAGGCCCAGAAATATACCCCACGAGGCCCCCAGAGGCCCCCAAGAACCGCCCAAAACGCCTCCAAGAAGCCCCCGAGGAGGCTCGCCACGACACCCCAACAAATTTACAAAGGGCCTCATATCCCACTGGGATAAAGAAGGGGCTGGCGGCAAGGGGCGAATCCCTGACGCATATTGGTAGGCAAGAACCAGCTCTTGGTGCATGCTGGCGAGACGTTTCTTGGGGTACTTCTCGATGGGCTCGCCTCTCATGCGTACTCTTGACGCTGATAGCCACAGGTCCCGATCGAAGTGCCCAGCGCCCCGCAGTTGCATACCACGCGCCCAAGGTACCCTCGAGGCCATTGTGGCGCTCCTGGCCTTTGCCCGATAATTCGGGCTCGAACCCGTTGTCGTCGAAGACCTGGGTGTTGAGGTACTTCGGCCTGTTCTTGTGGCCGGGCTTGTTTGACTGGTGGCGCTCGTAGCTCCGGCGGTCGCCCTCGTCGCTCCTCTGGTAGTCGTTGTAGCTCTGCCGGCGACCCTCGCAGCTCAGCTCGAGGCTCTCGTAGCACTCCACGCGGCCCACGTAGCTCAGCTCGTTGCCTGCGTAGCTCAGCAGGCGGCCCTCGTATCTGAGAGGGCGGCGCTCGAAGCTCTGCTAGTGGCCTTTGTTATTCAGCTCGCCGGTCTGGTAGCCCTGCAACAGGCCATATGGTAGCTCTGCGCGTGGCCCGCGTAGCACAAATTCCCGTCGTAGATCGGCAAGCGGCCCTCGTAGCTGAGCCGGTGGCCCTCGTAGCCCAATGCGTGGCCGTTGTAGCTTTGCGCGTGGTCTTGGTAGCCCAGCAGGTGGTCCTCATGCTCAACTGGTGGCTCTTCTTGCTCAGCAGGTGGACATCGTAATTCAGGCGGTAGCCCTCGAATCGCTACTGGAAGCTCTGGACACTATGGAAGTGGCCTTGGTAGCTCTGCTGGTTGCTCTCGAAGCTCTGCCTTTGGCCATCGGCACTCCGCCGGTCGCTCTCGTAGCTCAGCTACGAGAGCGATCGGCGGAGTTTCGAAGCTAAGCTCTGCTGGTGGCCTTCGAAGTTCTGCTTGCGGCCCTCGGAGCTCAGCTCGTTGCCCTCGCAGCTGCAGCCTAGCAGGTGGCTCACATAGCTGAGTTGGTGGTCTTCGTGGATATGCTTGTGCCCCTCGTAGCTCAGCGCGTGGTCCTTATTTCTCAGCCGGTGGTCCTAGTAGCACAGCTGATTGCTCTCGTAGCTCAGCGGGCGACACTCGTATCTCCGCTCGTGACCCTCGTAGCTCGGCTGGTGGTCCTCGCAAACCTGCCTATGGCCCTAGCAGCTCTGCGCGTGGCCATGAAAGCTCAGCCTGTGGTCCTCGTAGCTCTGCTGGTGGCTCTCGAAACTCAGCTGGTGGCTCTGAAGGCTAGGCTGGTGGCCCTCGAAGATCTGCCTCTGCCGTCGCAGGTATGCATACAATCCTCGACATGCAGCTGTGGACTATTAAGGTGTTGCTTCTTGCGGTTGAAGCTCTGCTGGCGGCCCTCGAAGCTCAGCTGGTAGACCTCGAAACTCTGCTTGCTGCCGTCGAAGCTCGGCTGGTGGCCCTCGAGGCTCACGCAATGGCCCTTGAGAATCTGCTTCTTCCGGTCGAAGCTCTGCTGGTGGTCCTCGTAGCTCTTCTGGCAGCCTTCAAAACTCTGCTGGTACCCATCAAAAACCGGCATGGTGGGCGGCACGGTAAAGAAGCCGTACGGGGTGTAGTCGCCGAAACTGCTGTACTCGAAGTAGCCGTTGTAGACGTCGTAGTCACTATAGTCGTGACCGCCTTAGGCGGCGTAGCCGTGGCCCAGCGGTATCTCCACGACATGTACTTGGACATCCCCTCGGGCCGCCCGGTCTTGTCGCGCCTGGTGTCGTATACTGTTGCGTCATACATTATGTTGTCGCATGTTGCGTCGCATTTGGTGGCGAGGTTTGTGTTGTACTTGCTGTCGCACGTGGGCGCCATCGCGAGGGCG